TCCTTGTAAGCATCTTCCAGGGCGGACTCGGTGATTCTGAAATTGTTGGAGCTGAAGCACTGGATGGGGACTATCTCGGCTCCGGTCCTCCACTTGAGATCCCTGTCGAATCCGGGATAGTACGGAGTGGGGAGGAGGAAGGCGTCGCCGGGGTTGGCGAGACAGAAGATGAGAGTCTCGTTGGCGGAGGTAGAGCCTGCGGTGAGGACGAGGTTGTCGGCATCGAAGTCCACTTTGTTTCCTCGGATTTCGGACATGAACTGAGCCATGGCGTTCTTGAATTCGGGAAGGCCGTGGTAGTCTTGAAAGAGGGCGAGCTGTCTGAAGACGGACTCGCCCTCGGGGTTCTTGAACGCGGCGGCTTCGGGGTTGAGAGCCATCCAAGACTCGAGGAGGTCGAAGGAGAGCTGATTCTCGGCGAGACCCATTTGGATGATACCTTTGGGGTTTTTGATATCGTCGTAGGGGTTCTTCTCGTACTCTTGCCATCCCAAGAAGTAGGACGAATCTTGTCCGTGTGAATTGTTTGTGACTTTGTCAGATAGGAGCTTCATTTTCTCGAGTGTTTACTTTGCTGGGAAGCTGTGATTTTCGAGGAGGAAGAAGAAAAATGAAGTTTAGAGAGAGAGAGGATGAGGATGTTGATTTTGTGGTGGCTTATTATCCGCCTCGGGGTATATATAGAAGTTGGAAACTATTTAATGAATGGCACTCTGAAAAAAATAGTAATGATTTAATATCTGTCCGTATCATACCTGGCAGGCAACTTCCTCTTCCTCCCAAAAAAAATTGAAAAAAATGAATACTCTTTTCCGATCCGGTCCAAGTCGATAAGTTAGACGGTTCAGAGGTGACTGCCGAAAGATATTAACTATGTCCAACTCATAGGTAGGATTAGGCCTGGATTCCGAACCCGATAATTTGAACTGAACCCGAAATAACTTGAAAACTAAAAATTGGATTAAATCGAATGATCAAAATGATTCGAACTGAACCAAATGATTTCAACCTGAATCTAATCTGAATCTGATTGCCCCCTACTCATTGTAAGTGGATCCGCCATTGCTTTTTGTTAACTTATTTGGTCATATTTGTGTACTTCACATTTATTTTTAGTGAAATTTGCACTGAATATAACAAAAATATAAGTCATTTCTCAATATAGAACTCAACCTTTTTTATTTCCTAAATAGGACTTAATAATGACTAGTGAGAAGAATAATGTCCAATTGATACTGGATATTTAGTTGAATAATGACTAATAGATAATGACCAATGGTCCTACATTGGGAAATAAAAACATTTGATCCTATATTGAGAAAGTCATTATGATTTAGTCTCATTTAGGTAAATTACTCTTATTTTTAATATGGCCTTTTAACATCAACAACAACAAAACAGTGGTGGTCCTAAGGAAATCAAATAAGTGCAACCACGCATGGCCTCTAAATTTTTAGCGTTGAGAATATCGAGATTAATATAGATTATAGGTATGATTTTAAAGTCCTTGAAATCTAAAGCTTCAAACTGAGCAATGACACCTATGGAGGATAAGTTGTGGTAGAGATATGGATGCTGAGGTGGATGTGTGGAAGACGAGGTTGAATATGATTCAAAATGATGTTATTTAGAGACGTGGAGAGTGACACCAATGGAGGATAAATTGTGGGAGGCTAAGTTGAGATGGTTGTGTTGCGTGAAGAGGTGTGCAACTTAGGCACCGGTGCAAAGATTGCGAGAGGATTACGATAATTGGGTTACTTGAGGAAAATGGTAGACGTAGGGATTGAAGAAATAAAAGAAGGTGATTATACATGACTTATAACTTTTGGCTCGATCTTATCGAGAATATAACTTTAAATAATGACGTCTAGAGCTAATATTAAGGTAGTTGGATAGTCGTTTGGTCCATAGTGGTAGTTTTCTTAGCCTTTGTAGAGTGTACTCTTGGTTCTTTTGTCATGTTATTTGCTATTTGTGTTCCTTGATATGAAGGTTTCTTTCAATTACTTTATATATTTATGTTAGAGTGCATCCCACATTAGAAGTTCAAGAGTAAAATAATCGGTATATAAGCTCTTGAGTTGAACTAACTAATCGATTGGATTCAATCTTGTAATGTGGTTCGACCAATTGTCTTATTGCACAATCCAATTATCTCTACCCATTCCTAAATTATTTCATGGAATCAGAGCAGGTTTTGGTCCACCTCGTTTGTCAAGGTGTTCGTCTAGACGTTCATTCCTAGCGGCCCGTTAGTCTTTAGCCCAGTTGTCCGAATGGAGTACGTACCCAACGGCCTGTGGCCCGTTTAACACGATTGATCGTCTGGAAGTCCATACCCATCGGCTCATGGTCCTTTAGAGGTTGGCGTTCAAAAAAATAAAGGGAATGAGAGTTCATTTGCAAGTGGTCAACCGGTTAGATTCAAAATGGCCCGGTTGTCCACTTGATGGGGAGTGTTAGAGTGCATCACACATCGGAAGTCCAAGAGTAAAATAATCGGTATATAAGCTCTTGAGTTGAACTAACTAATCGATTGAATTCAATCTTTTAATGTGGTTCGACCCAGTGTATTATTGCCCAATTCAGTTATCTCTACCCAATCCTAAATTCTTTCAATTTATTTTATAATAATGACAACAATGTAAATAACATTGCAAAATCCTCTAGGAATTGAACATGTGACCTCTAATATTTTACTTGTCAAATAAGCCTTATAATTCCATGTGTACATTGTAAATAATTGTTGGAGCAATAGTGTGAATTATTAAGTTTGGGACTAACAATGCGAAATCCTGAATTTGTTGGATAGTTTCCATGAAAATTTTCTTTTTCTAAGTATATTTTCTAAAAAATCACCCTAAATAAGATTAAAACATAGAAAAAATACTAAAATATGAGTTTCATGTTTTTATCTTTAAAATAAAAATTTGCAATGTGGTAATGTAGCAATGTATATGGATATATGACAATAATTTTTGGTAATATATATGGTTATGATGGACACTATATATGCATTTTAACTTCTATTTCGTAATTTATATGTTTTTAATGTTTACTCTTACTTTAATCTTTTTCCCATACTTTTTTTAAATTATTAATGTATAAGCTATTACTCTAGAACTTAATTTGTATATTTGCACGACCACAAAGATTTTGGTCCGGTCTAAGGTCTTGGAACCAATCTTATTCTTATAAATCTCTGTAGTACTTCATGTCACACAAAGAATGGGATAATGGAATACTAATCATTTTCCTCACGTCTTTTTTTTTGTGGATTTGGTGCATGTGTCAAAAAAAAAGTAGAGCAAAAGAGTGGAGAGTGAGTACAAGGTTTAGGTGCTTGGAAATGGGAGACCAAGCTACCTAGTAGCTACCTACGCAATTCCCTCCATGATCTTGACGGACCACTGCGATTTTTGCGGGCGCATTTCAGCCGTATCCATCTCACACATGGTACCCCGGAGGATGCCACGTGAACCCGCGAGCTCATGCATAAGTGTATCTATCACGAAACTTCTCTTTCCGGACTCCCCATATATATTAAGGCCCAAAATTGTTTCTTTTTTTTTTAATGTTTGTCTCATTTCATTTACTTCCAACTTCCACTAAAAACCTTTTATAAATGAAGAAAAATTACAACTACTAGTGTTTACCCCATGCTTCGCACGGACTCGTATATATTCTAATTTTTTGAGATTTTATACTTATAATTTTATTTATTTTAATTTTTTAATAATGACAAAATATGTTTTAGACTGATAGAATATATATTAGTATGTTAATTTAAAAACAAAAAAATTATACAAAATTCATGGTCATTGAATTAAGTACTAATAGATATGGTTTGAATTAATAAAATATTATAATAAAAAGTGGATTAGTTACATGCATAATGATACATCATTAACGAATGTTTATGTGTCATAATGTCACTTGTGAGTTGTCACCCTTTAATCAAATCAAATTTTTGAAACAAAGTAATTAATTAATAAATATGCACATGTGATTAAATTTAAATAATCATTTCTTGAGAAGTAATAAACTAAAATAAGTTACAGATAGTATAAAAATAATTTTACATGTGTGTGTATATATATTCAAAATACGGAGTAAATTTTACAATGGTGAAATATATATTTTTTGAAATATTAAAAAATGAGAAATTTTATACAAATGTATTAAAAGATACTTCCTCCGTTTGGAAAAAGTCTTCCCACTTTGACTATAAGGCAAAATAAAGAAGTGTAAAATTATAGTTGACTTCCAATTTTGCCCCTGATGTGATGGGTAAAAGTAAGATGTGATGGATTTATTGTTAGAGAAAAAGTATAATGTTATAGGTAGGGTATGAAAAAGTAAGGGTAAAAATGGTTTTTTAATAAAAAGGGGAAGTGTTTTGTTGAAAGTGAAAAAAAATGAAAGAGGAAGTGTTTTTGAGAACGGAGGGAGTATATAAAATGGGTGCAATGCATATATCCACTTCATAAATGGGTGCACATGTGGATGCACATGTGGCATGCCACATGTCAACACTACAACAACTAAAATAGGATTCTAACGACAACAATGCAATCAGGACATCTACTGATAGAATTTAGGATTGGATAGAGATAACTGAATTTGACCATAAGACACTTGGGTCGAACCACATTAAAAAATTGAATCCAATCGATTAGTTAGTTTAACTCAAGAGCTTATATACCGATTATTTTACTCTTGGACTTCCGATGTGGTATGCACTCTAACATCTACGATGCTTCGTTCGTAAAATTTATTGATCCAACCCTCTAATCCCCAGGTGAACCCTCTAAGTCCGGCTCATCGCTAACGCACCACCCACCGAGCAATTACACCACCTTTCATTTTCGTTAAAAAATTGACCGCAAAGTCAACACAATAAAAAATTGTTAAATTTGAGGAAGTGTAAGGGTGTGTTGGGACGGATCATGCTGATAGGTTTACCAAAAGGTTAGTTGGTAGGGACGATCAATTTTGCAAACGGATCACCATAGATGTCTCGATGACAATGTTGTAAGTATAGTACCATAGTTATACTCCCTCCGTTCTTAAGTAATTTACACACTTCAGGTTTCAAAAATTTGGGAACTTTTTATTTATTTATGTGTTTTCATTGACTATTTGATGAAATAAATATTCTTGTCATCTTTTAATTTGTAGAACCTTGGATGTCCATTTTAAATATGTAAGTTTTATTTTTTATTTATATACTAATCTTTAAATAAAATAAATTGAAGAAATGTGAGATTTTATTTCATTTTAGATAAAGTGTAAATCATTTAGGGATAAAAGGAGTTTTTTTTAGGTAAAATTAGGGGGAGTTTTCTAATACACACTCCTATACATGAGTTCACGTGACACCTAACAAACTCGAGCACGTGTTTAAAATACTCCATTCGTTCTTGAAAATCTTTCTCTTTTCTTTTTTTATCCGTCCTAAAAAACACTTTTTAATTTTATTAAAAAGTCACTTTTACCTTTTACTTTTTCTAACCTTATCTATCACATCATACTTTTTTATTAATAATCTACCCATCAAATCCTACTATTACTCATCACATCAAAAGAAATTTTTGGAAATTCAATTCCAATATATACACTTTCTTTAAATCTCTTCAAAATCAAAACATCATATGTTTAAAGAGACAGAGGGAGTATAATAGAGGAGATGGAATTCCGCAGGTAGCTAGTGAGGAGTAAGCTAGTGAGGAGTAGCTTAATTGGTCTCCCTCGTCTAAATAAATGAAATATTTATCTAAGTAGGACTAAAACATAATAACTTTTTCAATATAGGATCATATGTTTTTATTTATCAATGTAGATCAGACCAATGGTCATTATTCATTAGTCATTATTCAAGCAAATGTCTACCATCACTTGTCATTATTTCTCCCACTAGATATATTAATTACTATTTAGGGAATAAAAAATTAAGTCCTACATTGTAAATTGACTTATGTTTTAGTCTTATTTAGTGTAAACTTCACAACAAAAATCTGGGAAAATAATTAAGATGGAGGTAGAATTTTTTGAGATGTGCTAGGGTAACAAACAAAAACATAAAGAAACAAAAAACTTTGTTCAATTTAAATTGTTAATTTTTTTAATTATTTAAATATATTTTATTTTTGGGTATTTTAGTGTGATTCGCAAATACGGGTAGCAAATATTGTAAATTTTTTGTTTGTGACTCTAATAAATTATAGCAAATTCATCATATTGTGTATGAAATAATTAAAAATATTTAAGAAGATAAATATAATAAAATACTACCTCCGTCCCACTCTCTTTGTTCACTTTTGACTTTTGTAATTGTTCATCTAAGCACTTTGACTCATCAAATTCTCTGAATGTGTAAGTCTATATATAGTTATGTGTGATCTTGTTTGATTTGTCTTAACATATACGGAGTAGATTATTAATATATAATTTCTATAATTTTTTAATATACAAATTACAAGATAAAATGGATTAAAAGAGTGCATTGGATGGTGTGTAAAAACGGAAGTGGACAAAAAAAGTGGGACGGAGGGAGTAACATTTATATCAATATCTAATAAAATAATGTGATAATTTTATTTATTCAATGATCAAATTTAATAAACTTTGATTGTAAATAGACAAATCTTACAGGAGAGAAATAGTACATTTAATATTTTTTAAAAATAAAATATTCTTGTTTAATTTTTTTGGAGTAAGTTTTCACATAATATAAGACAACAATAAAAAAATATCAAACCCACAAATCCCACGAAGATTTATTGTACTCCAAGTAGAGCCTAATTAAACTGTCTGATTTTGGGAGAAAAGAGTAATCAAAGGAGAGTGTAATCATCTTTGGGATCAGAAGAGGAAGTTGCCAGGTATGATCCGGACAAAAAACTAAATCGTATCCGCCCCCATTGGGATCCAATTAATAATAAGTCTCCACCCGGCCAACTCCCATATATATATATATATATATATATATATATATATATATATATATATATATATATATATATATATATATATATATATATATATATATATATATACTTTGAGGGGGAGGACTTAAAAATCCATCACAACTCATAACATCATTTCACTTCTCTCTCTAAGCTTCATTTCTTCTTCTGTCTCTTCGTTTCCGAAAATCACAGCTTCCCAGCAAAGTAAACACTCGAGAAAATGAAGCTCCTATCTGACAAAGTCACAAACAATTCACACGGACAAGATTCGTCCTACTTCTTGGGATGGCAAGAGTACGAGAAGAACCCCTACGACGATATCAAAAACCCCAAAGGTATCATCCAAATGGGTCTCGCCGAGAATCAGCTCTCCTTCGACCTCCTCGAGTCTTGGATGGCTCTCAACCCCGAAGCCGCCGCGTTCAAGAACCCCGAGGGCGAGTCCGTCTTCAGACAGCTCGCCCTCTTTCAAGACTACCACGGCCTTCCCGAATTCAAGAACGCCATGGCTCAGTTCATGTCCGAAATCCGAGGAAACAAAGTGGACTTCGATGCCGACAACCTCGTCCTCACCGCAGGCTCTACCTCCGCCAACGAGACTCTCATCTTCTGTCTCGCCAACCCCGGCGACGCCTTCCTCCTCCCCACTCCGTACTATCCCGGATTCGACAGGGATCTCAAGTGGAGGACCGGAGCCGAGATAGTCCCCATCCAGTGCTTCAGCTCCAACAATTTCAGAATCACCGAGTCCGCCCTGGAAGATGCTTACAAGGAAGCCCAAAAGCGTAAACTCAAAGTCAAAGGGGTTCTGGTCACGAACCCCTCGAACCCGTTGGGGACGAC